GAGGCCACGTTGTAATGGTGGAAATTCAGTAACTGTCACTGCTAAGTGGAATAGTGTTGTTGACAGTTTTTTTTATTAAAATCAGTTGTCTCCTGTCTTATCGAAAGATTATCAGTATACACGTGCTGCAGTCCAAAGTTCGCAAACCATCCGTAATGGTGTGGGCTGAAATCGATTCACAGTTTAGTCCCTACTGATTATATATCAGCTGTATAGCATAATGTCTTAACCTCTGCAGTGCTTCCTGCAGGTTTAGGTTCAAGCTGCGACTTAGTTTTAGGTTGAGGCTAATCCGGTAAAAACCATGGACTTACTTCTTGGCTTGAACAGCCTATCAGTTCCAGTCTATGCCGATGTCGGTGGATCAGCAGTCAGGACGGTTCTGGTCATCTAGCCTCTGCTTGAGACCCTGTCACAGCTCGAACCAAACCAACCGCACCCGGCGTTTCAACTGTGCTGAAGTAAAAGAGCTATTTGTGTCGATATGTTCACATCGGCACATGGCTAAGGTTATTCGCAGTTTAATGGAATGGCAACGCGGTGTAACAAGTTCGAGGAACGTTGTCGCGTCGGACGTCTTTGAGATTTGATTGTCTAAGCCTTGAAGGACCGACGCATTTCATGATATCATTCAATAACAATCGATCAGAATTTTGGTCCATTTTGCCAAAAAGTATTCGTCTTCTTTTCATAGGCTAGATGATGCAAAAAAGTATCCTCCCCCACGGTGTCATTTCCTTATGCCTATGACATGTCATTAATAATGACATAAATAATTCTGTTAGCACTGACCATCACTGCTAAATGTGTCTGGACGCATGTGGGTTTTCGCGGCTACCATGGTGGTTCAGGAGAATAATTTATGACCCCGTGGTTTGGTTCTTTCATGGCCGAAGTTGCTGTTTTACTATGGAGAGCACAATGGAGTAAAACATGCTACCTTCAATCGAGTAATCCTACTCATCAAAATTTGGCGTTTCTGTCTGTATGGCAAAAATAACATAAATTGAGAAATCTGATAACGTCGATATTTATTGCCCAAAGAAATATTTCCATAATAATTCATTTAAATGACCTACTGTTGTCGTTAGTTTTGCTTTCGTAAATATGTAAGGCATACGCTCACTGATAATTTCCAATACACCCGTTAGTCTTCTTCTTCATCCGCAGTACTTCTGACTCATGAACAACCATGCAGGCCGAAAAACTGTCAGTGATTGATTGGCCATGAGCTTAATGTTGTCGAGATATAATCTGACCATTAATCACCGGATCATATCGCTTCCAAACGTTTTCCATCGAAATTATCCGGATTTTTGACTGAATCAAGAAATTAAAGGGCGTCCTCAAATCACTGATGTTATTTGAACCTCTGATGGACTCTGCACCATTGAAATTGACCTCATGAATTCCATAGATTTTCCATTACACGTGTAATCGTGTTTCGCCACGTTTGCAAAACTGAGGCAATGGTGTTTAGTAGTCGAGAAGCCAAAGGTTGTTGAAGACAGCGGCGTCAGTCGTCTGCTGAAAAAGGTAAGACGAACGACGTCAGTTGACCGACCGTTGTCTAAACGTGAACTTTTTTTAAGTTGAAATCCACGCTAAAACTGAAGCACACCGAAGGAGAGAATGTGACGAGGTTGTTTTTGTTCTTGCAAGTTATGAGTGCATGCTTCGGCAGCTTCGCGCATGGCGGGAACGACGTCAGGTGAGTTTTGGATGTGATAACTCGTCAGCCAGTGTTTGCATTTCACCTGGGTTAGCTGCTTATTATACGGTGTAAAGGAAAAGCTTTTTCTTGACTCTTGTTTACAGAAAGGTCGCACTGCAATGACACATCGATAGCCGATGAAAACCCTCATTTACGTTCGAGGTTTCAACCGATTATATCCGTGTTTCATGGAAAGAAGGAAAGATACATCAACTCTTAAGTCGTACTTCCAACTCTGCAAAATAGTAGGAGGACAGTGGAGGGTTCTAAGGACAGTGCATAGTTAAACCTCGATGATCTGCAGGCTTGAGCGTGCTATTAATTGAAAAGTATCTTGGTATAATGATTTCGTATAAGAATAATAGTTTTGCAGTAAATCAACCCTCAAATTACGCACTCAGATTCAAGCCACGAATTCGGTCTTCCTTAAAATGAATAACTATGCCAAGATTGACCTACATTACACTTGGTGTACGAGATTAGACGCGAGATCATTCAGGGTCTTACTTCGGATTAGACACCGCTCTCACACTTTTCCAATCGTTCTAAACGT